CAGGTTGTTAATGAGTCTTCCTCCAATCCTGATGCCACGTTTTTCTTGCTATAACCCAGCTTCTCAGATTATTTGCTCAGTATACAGGTTGAATAAGTATGGTGAAAGAATACAACTGTGTCGCACACCTTTCTTATGGGATCATACAAAATATCCATATTTTTGTCATCCATACACATTGTCTATAATTCCTGAGGCAGAAATGTATTTGTAGGTTTAGCATAAAAATTACGTCCCTGGACTTCTTTACAAACGGATCTGGGAGGCAGAATAGTTGGATAGAACATGTCGTAACTCAGCTTCCACAATGAGATTTGAGTGATTCTATATGAGCCCTGAAACTGGCCCCACCAGAAAAGATACAATGATGGCAAAGAATTATAACCAGGAATTAAACTTACATTGACACCTGAAGCCTAAACATACAAAATCCTTCTAAAAGAAGCTATGGCATTAGAATCATAGACTGGTAGAACTCTAAGAGTCCCTGGAGGTCAGTTAGTATTTCTAGTACAGTGGCCTTTACCTCCTTATGAATTACTTCAGGAGTTTTCAGTCAACTTGTTGAGTCTTTTTAAAACTAATAGAAAGTTCTGGATACTGAATGTCACCTGGTTAAAATGTTCAGCTGCTAACTGAAAGGTGGATGCTTAGAACCTGCCAGTAGCCCCGCAGATAGACACGACAGTCTGCTTCTATGAAGACAGCCAACATTTGAGTTCATGTGAAGTAGTTCCACGCCCTCCTATGGGGTTGCTGTGAGTCGGCATCAAACCAATGGCAGTGGATTTGGGGTTGGTTTGGTTATTCATCAACTTACATTTATTTTTTGATTCAGTGATACAATCATATTCAATATGTGTTAATTCTTTGTAGATAGACTTGGTTAACATTTGAGTGGGGAAAAAAATTCCCCTGTGAACTGATCTATGAGTATGTTTGGTTGTGTATACTGCCACCCAAAAAAAGAAATTTCTTCCAATTTGAAGGGAATTCATAAGTTTGAAGCAAACTGAAAATCCATTTATTACCTGCACATGTTCCTATTCATCAATGAGATTTTGGTGCTTTTTTTCCTCTCAGCTTCATTCAGATATGGATAGGGGAGACGGATCCATCAAATACATCCTCTCCGGAGAAGGTGCAGGAATCGTGTTTACCATCGACGACACCACGGGAGACATCCACGCCATTCAGAGACTCGACCGGGAGGAAAGGGCCCAGTATACGTTACGAGCTCAAGCCTTAGACAGGCGGACAGGCAGGCCCATGGAGCCAGAGTCTGAGTTCATCATCAAAATCCAAGATATCAATGATAATGAGCCCAAGTTCCTGGATGGGCCTTATGTTGCGGCTGTGCCAGAAATGTCACCAGTGGGTAAGGTGGCAATTAGCTGTCCTCACAAACAGCAAGTTGTCGTAGGAAAGCCTCCTATGGATGTAGACATAGATGTGGGTATAGATACACATAAAGATCAGACAATGTACAGAGCAACCCATAAGGTGAATCCCAAACGACAACAAAGTCTATAGTCAGAGACGAAATTACACATTGGAATCCACCATAGCAACAAATTAGCTTACTATTGCCATTCAGTTGGGTTTTGTTTGTTTGTTTGTTTGTTTGTTTGTTTTTTGAAGCTTTCCTTGTGAATTGAGTGATAGTTAACATGGGAGAGCATCGGTTTTACACTCAACCAATTGTATTTGGTTTCACTGCAATGATTACAATCCCCTCCATGCCTCATTGGTTAATAGTATTTGTCTGTATGCCCTTTTTCTTCTGCTTCTTCTTCTTTTGATGTACACAAAAACAAACAGGAATATATATAATCATTTCAGCAACTGTTGCCATTCAGTTTTTATTCTTAAAAAGAAAAAGAAAAAAATGTAGATGATAGACAGAGAAATAGGTAGGTAGGTAGACAGACATGTTTGATTCCTAAGATGTTTGGTTTGCTTTGGTATTATCCAAAGGGCAAAGACTGGTTGTCCTTGCCCAGTTGTCCTTGCCGGTTCCTAAGAACTGAAAATACAAATAACTCATTCCCACTAAGCGGGGCAGGAAAGGAGTTCCCCAAAGGGCCCCTGCTGAGGAAGCTGGCAGACGCTCTTCCGGTCTTTGGCAATTGGACTTCATCAGGTTTCCCCATCTCTCTTCTTCAGGTACCTCTGTTATCCAGGTAGCAGCTACAGATGCAGATGACCCAACCTACGGCAACAGCGCTCGGGTGGTGTACAGCATCCTCCAGGGCCAGCCATACTTCTCGGTGGACTCCAAAACAGGTATCCGACACAATTGTCCGAGCTGGGGCTTTGCCCCTTAGTTATTTATAACAACTCCATTCCCAAAGACTCTCAGCAGAGCAAATGACCCGACAAGATGTTCCAAGCTTTAGGATTAAGAGAGCAGACTAGCACTGGCCTGGTAGAAAAGAGCGTGCTTACCAAGGGCACTGGATTGTGTCTGATGGAGAGGTCAAATCGCCACCTACAGAGCAGTAGCCCTTCACTCACCTTCCAAATTCCTATGGTGCTATTTATTCCCTGAGAGGAAGGTGCTTTGTACCTCTAAGGAGAGCTGGGTCGCTATAGATCTAGAATCATTGGTGTTGAAACTAGAAACCGCCTTAGGTCACCATCCAGTCTGTCTCCATTTATTTAATGGATGAGGAAATGAGAAATTGGGACCAAATGACGTTCATCGGATTGTAGATACACCCCTGACACACTGAAGTGCTTTCCACTGAACTACCCTGTATAGTGATGAGTATCCCCACCTGTCCCGTGGGAGACCGGGGTTCTAGTCCCCGATAGGGAGCCAGGAGTCCTGATGTGACACTATGGGTTAATGAACTGGACTGTAAAGTTGGTTTGAACACCAAGGGTTGGTGGTTCAATCTCACCAGTCACTCCTCTCAGAAACCCTATACAGGGTCGCTATGGGTCAGAACTGACTCAAGGGTACTTAACAACAGCAACAACCCTGTACTAACAGAGAACAAGGCACTATGAGGTCTGTGAAGTCATTTGGTCTGGCCCTGCCAAGGCAACCAAAGTTCCAGCCATCACATTTGTTGTTGTCAAGTGTCATCAAGTCGGTTCCGACCCATAGTGACTCTGTAAAGGGTTTCCAAGGAGCGGCTGGTGGGTTTGAACCACCGACCTTGAGGTTCAAGCTAACCTTGCAGTTCAGCGCATTATCCCACAGTGCCACACCAGGACTCCATTGTTGTTGGTGGTGGTGTTGTTATGTGTTGTGGAGTCGGTTCCGACTCATATCGACCCTGTACAGAGTTTCCGAGGTTGTAAATCTTTACGGGAGCAGAAAGCCTCGTCTTTCCAGATGGAGCAGCTGGTCGTTTCGAACTGCTGACCCTGAGGTTAGCAGCCTAATTTTTAAGTTGATAATTTTGTGTGGCCCATAATGTCATAAACTTTGGCAGAAGAAAGGTTCCCCATCCCTGCTATAAATGGACAAGTTTAACAAAGAGGGTACACAAGAGCTAGGCAAGTCTTCCTGGGTAGGGAGCAATGTGTCAAGAGAGGACAAGGCAAGAAGACTTCTTTCAGATAGACCCAGGAGTTTAGGTTAAAGAATCTGTAGGTTTTATCTGAAGCCTTTAGGAGGGCCCAAGTGTTAACATACTCAACCAGCCAAAAAAGTGGGTGATTTGCGTCGATCCAGGTAGACCTTGGAGGTTACCCGTGAAAGATGGCAGCCATTAGAACCCTATGAAGACTGGTAACCTGGGTCGCCATGAGTCAGAATGATTTAGTGCCAAGTGGTTCCTAGGCTGTAGCGACAAAGGATCCTCTTTCATACTTTTGAGTTCCGTGGTGCAATTATTTTACTCTTAGTATCTTACACTTGTGCCAAGCTCTCTGCCTTTTAAAATATTTTCATGCACTTTTCTATATTTGAGCCTCCCAACGTTTGTGTGAACTTGTGAAATGTGTACCGTTGTTGAGTGCCATCCAATTGGTTCCTGTGTAGGGTTTCCAAGGAGTGGCTGGTGGGTTTGAACAGCTGACCTTGTGGTAAGCAGTCTAGTGCTCATCATACAGTGTAACATAAGAGAGTGTGTCATATATGAAAAAATCTAGGGCCTAAGACTAATTCACAGAATTTGTGTCATGAAACTTACAGCCACAAAGTAAAGGCATTGATGAACATGGAAAGCTACCTCTTTATTTGAAAGAGAGAATATATATATATATATACATTTCGATTATTAGCAACCTAGATAGAATTTCTTTATTATTTTTCAGAAGCCCAAAGGGAAACCAGGCATTCAGAAAATTCTATCATAAAAATAGACCGTGAAGCAGTGTGAATTAGGAGGAAGGATTGCCATAGGACCTGCTATAATACAGTGCCTTTCCCAATTCTACCAATGTGGGGAGGGTACCCACACCGAAGAAATGGCAGGCAGGAAGAGGGTAATGTGTCTTTTATATCCAGAAAACCATCTTACATTATGTTGACAGCTCCCAGCAGGCATGGATACTGGTAAGGTCAAAACTAGATGCAAAATAGTTATTGCTATGTGCCCAGGGGGAAGTTACAAAACAAATGCTGCATCTTTCAATTGAGCACGTTCGTACTAGAATACAGTCTATACGTTAGAGGAGCTAAGCTGAGGGTGGCTATGGTTTCTAGTCCCTTCTCTATTCATGCCAAAGGTCTTCTTAGCCAGGGGTTATGTTGTAAACTCACAGTAAATAAGCCTTGATTCCTGACCTACAATGATAGACACCTACTTTTCTAAGTCGAGGGGTTAAAAGGGCCGTAAAACATCCTTGAGCATGCTCACTCGGCAGGATCAAAGCAACACATTTGAATCGATCCTGATTTAGGTCCCTCTTTTGCAATGAAGCAGTATCATCCATCACACTGCAATGTCTGGCAAAGTTCAGCCCTTGCGCGCGTCACTAGCAAAAGAAACCAGAGTTTCTTTCAGGTTCTGGTTCATGGGAGTCAGTGGAGCACCAGGGTAAGCAGAGAATGAAAACATAACAAAAGGAACATGGAATCAGAATTCCACCCCTACTGACAGGTACTGCAGGTAGGGGAAATCCCAGACAGGGAATGAGTTCCCTAAAGAAGAGCCATTCATACTAGAAGTTATCTGAGGGCTGAAGAAAGAAAGGGCGGGAGGAGGATTATCTAGAATCCCGGATTTGTAGGCTTGTGAGGTTTTGTTTGCAGGAAGAAAAGTCCCAGTTTGCTTTAGTGACTCCCAGCAGCCTGAAGTCCCTTGGACTGGAATCCCCAAGTCCGTCCGAGAGCCACTGCTGCCACCTGCTGTCCTCCTTCGGTACTGCAGCCGGAGGAAAGCCTCTCTCCCCGTGAGTCCTGCGGGAACAGCGAGAATCCACCATTTGTTTGCAGCCAGTTTAATAAAACACCGGGGACTCGAGATGTTAAGCGTGCACAGGAAGAAACCGAGACAGCCAACTTTTCGAGGCAGGAGTGTGAATCTGTGTGGGTTTGTGTCCGGCAGGTGTCATCAGAACAGCACTCATGAACATGGACAGAGAAGCTAAGGAATACTATGAAGTGATCATCCAAGCCAAGGACATGGGCGGGCAGCTGGGAGGACTGGCTGGGACCACCACGGTCAACATCACTCTCTCGGATGTCAATGACAACCCACCACGCTTTCCTCAGAGTGAGTACCTAGCCAAGGGGCTGCTGACCACGGCACCGGCACCTGGGCCCTCTTGGGATGGCAGTGAGACTCCTCAGTGAGGGCAATTCCCGCCTCACCATCCACAGTAATGAACCCCTGTTCCTTATACCTTTTTTGTTTTGTTCCATGACCATTTCCCTATGGAATCATTAGCACACTCATCTGCTAACCAAAAGGCTGGAGGTTCTAATCCACGCAGCGAGGCCTCGGCAGAAAAGCCTAGAGATCTGCTTTTGAACAGTGAAAGCTATCAGACACCCTGTGGAGCACAGTTCTCCTCTGTCACACACGGGGTTGCCATTTGGGACGTTTTTTTCCCCTAATCGCCAACCTCTCCACCCCTGAAATTAAATACTGAGGAATACTGAGGGGGCTGAACTTAAGAGGGTCATAAACCAATGTAAGGGCCAAGATTTTTTTCACTCCCTCCACGAATCAATTTCTGCTCTCTTGGGAATAGTATCAGTTCCATTGATAGAGTTGTTGTTGTAAAGATTGTGGGTCAGTTCTAACTCACAGTGACCCTGTATAGGGTTTCCAAAGAGTGACTGGTGGGTTTGAATCACTGACCTTGCAGTTAGCAATCCAATGTTTATTGTATAGCGCCACCCTGGGTCCATTGATGAAGCATGCATTTAAATTAAACCAAAGCTGTAGATAAACATACTGAGCCATCTGACAGTCTTAACCAGACCATGTTTCCCAGCCCATGTTACTGAACACCTGTTATATAAACACACTGGGAGGAGGGGATGCTGCTCAAAGTCCAGCCCCTGCTTTTTGATGCTTACAGTCCACCTGGGGAACTGGCCTTCTAGACACATGGGAAGCTGACCGGGAGCAGCAAGTGCTGTACCACTTGAGTAGTGTGAAAAGCTGCCTTCACAGTGAACTGACATGAATGCAGGCTTCAGAGAAATAAGTCAGCGTGGGATAGAAGACTAGAAACTATTTAAATAGCCAGGAAAACATTCCAAGAGGGGGAGAAATCCCTGCTGTCCTCCAGCTCATTCTGGTGGAGACCTGTCTATCCAAGGGAAAACAATAGACGAGGATGAGTCAAAAATTATCCCATTCTGACTGTAGTTTTTTTTTTTTCTTTTTCTGCTCTTTTATTTTTATTATGGACTGAGTGATTGTTTACATGGGAGAACATCAGCTTTACACCATAATTTCATTGTAATGATTAAAATCTTCTCCGTGCATCATCATTCAACAGTATTTGCTTCCATTCCTTCTGTTTCCTTTTTTCTTTTTTGAGGGGGGAGGGGGATAGATGTACACAAGAACACTCAGGAATATATAATAAATGTAAACAATCAAAGAGCACATTCTGCAAGTCTGCCTCCCGGCTGCCAGCACACAACCTTTCTCTTTCCATGAGTCTAGAGTCCTTAGCTGCTCCCTCTCTCCACGTCCCCATCTCTGCCTCCATCTCTGACATTGCTGTTTCTCTAGATAAGGTCCCACATTCTGCTTGTGCTTATCTCCCCTGATGGTCCTAGGGTCCTCTGTTTCTGGACTGTAAGATTAACTACTCCCCTGTTTTTGTTACAAAACTTCTATCTTTACAGTTGTGCACACAGCCACAATTAGCCGTGATATGCAGAATTTATTTTAATCTTTATCATTTTTGACATAGTCTCCTTTCTTCTCAATACACTTTGTCCATCTGTCAACAAGCTTTCATATTCCTTTATTTAAAAAATATTTTAGTCTAAGCTGTCATCCATGAATACACCTCTATCATCACTTCTCCGTCAGAGGTGAACCTTCATCCTCCAAGGGCTGCTTTCTGGGGACCAAACAGGTGAAAGTCCAATGGAGCAAGATCAGGACTATAGGGAAGATGTTTTAACACCTCAAAACAAAGTTTTTACAGAGCATCAACCATGTAGGCAGAGGTTGGATATGCATTGTCATGCAAAATCACAATGCCCTTGGATAACAGTCCTCTGCATTTAATCACAAATTTAGGCTTCAACTCTTCAGCAAGCATCTCACTGTACAGAGCACTGCTGAACTTTTTTCCTGATAATGTTCCAATACTGGCCCTGGGGAATCCCAGAAAACTGTAAGCATCAGTTTTCCAACTGATGGTTGGCTTTTGAAATTTTCTTGGTTGGTGATTGAGGATGTTTCCATCCCTACTCTCAGGCTCATAGTGATGAATCCATGTCTTGTTACCAGTAGCAATTTTTTTAAAAGGAACTTTCTCCTTCCTTCCAGTATTGGTCCAAATTTCACTTGCATAGGCACAAACACTTCTGTTGATGCTCTTCTGTGAGCTGTTTCAGTATCCATCGTCATAAACTTTTCTAAATCTAAGTCTGTCTGGTATTATTTCATATGCAGATCCTTGGCTGATTTGCAAGTGATTTGCCACATAATCCACTCATCTATGCAACAGAATCATTCCACATGCACCCTCAATGTTGTCATCAGCCGTGGACATGGATGGGTGTTTAAATATAACCGGAGTGCAGATAAATTTTGACTCATCTCGTGTGTGCATGTATGTATACATACATATATACCAGAATGCCCAAAGCATGCTCTAGGTCTAGAGAGAGAAATACGCTTTAAATGAAGATGCAGAGGATTCGGCAGAAATAAAGTTGTAAATGTAGTTTTATGATCAGAGACCTCTAAACTGTTGATCCACTCTTTCTATTCTTAAGGGTGGTCACTGAAAAGTTTTGAGTGAGACATAAAGAAAGGCTAATTTGGTAGCTATGAACAGGAAGCGTTGTCAGGGATGGAGATGAGAAGCAGGGGAATCAGTTAGGAGACTTGTCGAGTCAGAAGATGGGCACTGATCATGGTGAAGGAAAAGGTGTCTTGGTTTCTTAGATGAGGGAAAGGAAGGAGGGTGGAGTCAAGGATGATGATGATGTTTTAAGTCTGGGTGACAGGGAGAAGGATTGTACCAATGATAGCAAGGGAGGAGGCTTAAATAGAACTAGCAGCTGGGAAGGAAGAAGATAAATTCCAGTTTGAATATGAAGTGACAGCAGGACAATCAAGTTGGATGTCCTTAAGGAGAGTGGGAATACGGAGGTATGACTGGGGACCAGGCCCCTGTCTGTGGAATGAATAAACAATTTAGCAGCAAATACAAAAAGGGTGTAGCTGAGGAATGAGCATAGAAGACAACTCCCAGATGAAAGACTTGAGCAGGGACGCTAGACTAAAGCATGTATGTGCTAAACATCACCAAGTCAGACGGTCAGCATAGTGACTGCAGTCACAGCCAGCCAAGCCAGCGGCACCCAACAGGGGTGTGGACCCCATCAGCTGACCCTGCTGGAGGTGGGCAACAGAATGATTGTTGATACAATGCTTGTCTGGTGTTTCAGCATCAAGTTATTTTTTTATAAAAATATCCCTGTACTTAGTTAGAACAACAAAAATATATATATTTTTTATGGCCCAGACCTACAAGGCCATACTTCTATGCTAATTTAGTTTTTGAGCCTTCTAATGTGCAGCTCTGGTAGCATAGTGGTTACGAATCGGGCTGTGAGCTGGAAGGTCAGCAGTTCGAAACTACCAGCTGCTCCACGGGAGAAAGATGAGGCGTTCTGCTCCTGTAAAGATTTACAGCCTCAGAAACCTTGTTCAGGGTCTCTATTGGTTGGAACCAACTCAACAGCACTTAACAACAACAACAATGTGCGGCAAAGTGGCAGCATCAATGGGCTCAAGCATGACAACAATTGTGAGGTTGGCCCAGAACCGGGCAGTGTTTTGTTCTGTTGTGCATAGGGTCGCTAAGAGTCAGTACAGACTCGATGGCACCTGACAACGACAACTAGAACAGCCACAAGAATGTGCTCCTGTGAGGGCTGTCATTATTACCAATTATAAGAGATGCTTCAAATCGCATCATTTCTTCGGCCTGTGCTCAAACACACAATGTTTTCATGGCTGCCGGCGTTTTTGGAGTCGCTGATTTTGTCAAATTTTCTGGTGTTTAGCCACAATATTGTGGTAGTTAGTGACTGTACCCACCATTCGTCTGTTGTACTGTGGTGACTTATGTATTACTGTGATGCTGGAAACTATACCACCAGTATTTTAAATACCAGCAGGGTTGCCAATGAAGGGCGGGTTTCAGCTGAGCTTTCAGACTAAGACAGACTCAGAAGAAAGAGAGACTGGTTAATGAATGTTTAGCCACTGAATAGCAGTGGAACACTGTCAGCACCAGATTACTGAATATTGAAACAAGATGAAGAGCACCATAATATTGTCAGATACAGTGCCAGAAGATGAGTCCCTAAGGTTGGAAGACACTCAGATGTGACCGGGGAAGAGCTGCCTCCTCAAAGTAGAGTAGATTGTGATGATGTGAATGGAGTAAAGCCCTTGGGACATGCATTCGCTAATGGGGGCAACTCAAAATAAAGAGACACAGCTACAAACATACATTAATGATCAGTACATGGAATGTACATATTATGAATCTAGGAAAATTGGAAATTGGCGAAAATTAAATGGAATGCATAAAGATTGATATCCTAGGCATTAGTGAGCTGGAATTGGCCATTTTGAATCTGACTATCATATGGTTTTACTATGCCAGGAATGAAAAATTGAAGAGGAATGGCATCATATTCATCATCAGAAAGAACATTTCAAGATCTATCTTGAAGTACAATGCTGTCTGTGATTGGATAATATTCATATTAAAAAGGAAGACCAATTAATACAACGATTGTTTACATTTACTCACCAACCACTAAAGCCATTGGTAATGAAATTGAAGAATTCTGTCAACTTCTCCAATCTGAAATTGATAAAACATGCAATCAAGATGTATTGATAATTACTCCTGACTGGAATGTGAAGGTTGGAAATAAAGGAAGGATCAGTAGTTGGCAAATATGGCCGTGGTGATAGAAATGATGCAGGAAATTGCATAATAGAATTTTACATGACCAATGACTTATTTGTTGCAAATAACTTTTGTTAAA